TTCTGCCGATTTTCATTTTTTCATCCGATAGAATTTGTTCCTTTTTTTTTTTTTCTTTTTTTTTTCTTCAAATTCTAACTCAATCCTTTCGATGTAATAAGTCGATCGTGGACAAGTCGATTGGTCAAAGCCAATTGTAACAAATAATTGCGACGAATAATAGCTCGTTTTCGACGTAATCATACTGCGTGCCGTGTGCCGAGCCAAGTCTCGCCGACCGATTCCTCGATAGAAATTCTCACGGCTGGTTCGCACGATAACAAGTAAAGTAAATGGCGATGTTTCGTTTGGTGAAAAGCAAAAAAGTGAAAAGATACACAGGTTGAAAGACTGTGGAGGGCTGGGGGAGTTTCACGGTACAGTTTGCGTTTCGTTTGATCCGCCTCGCTAATTTCAGCCACATGTATATAAACGTTAGGTTTGCTGCGACCACAAGCAGAGAGTGTTTCGCTTCTCGAAGCGTCTTTCAGCGGCTGATAACTTTGCGAGCGACGCAAAGCGACGAGTTCCCTCGTTTCGTCAGAATGAGACGAAAGCTTTTGGTACGAAAAATCATCTCTGAATACAGTTTTCGTGAAGCAACCGAGCCACGCAGAGATTAAACCGGTCAACACTATCGGGTTGAATCGTTCGTTGAATTTGTAGAAAAGTAAAGTTAACTGGTTTGACTTCTGAATGGCTCGACGTGATTTTATCTTGCAAAATTTATATATTTTTTTTTCTTTTCTCTTGTTTTAGTATGCTGCTGCTTTATTGGTGTTGTTCGTGTTGCTGCAACAACCAGCTGAATCGTAAGTGTCGGGATATGTATTACTTTATTGCAAGTTGTATCGATAGAATACATAGTTGTTTTGTCGTGTTTTTGTGTAATAGGAAAAAGGTGATCATCCATGTCCCCTACCGAATAAAGAACGTGAAGCACACGCACACGATCTACAAAATCGTGCCGCACTATGACGAGGACAAGAAAGACATAGAAGAAGACGATAAATATGAATTTTATTAGAAATAAGTAGATAATACAGTGGAGAAGTTGCGAGTAATTAATAAAATAAACAAAGGTTACTCGAACAACCTGTAGTAAAGTTGAAACGAATCTTGTAAACTTTCGCACTCAGATATATAATAAAAGAAAAGAAGAAAAAAATTAAGAGTTAAATGTTCGAGGACTCATGAAATATGTGACGAGTATATGTATTGTGCGAGAAATTTGTAAAAAAAAAAAAAAATCAATA